ATCTTCGCTGTCGTCATCTCGGATACTCGACGAATTACGTTTCAAATGAGTTTGACCTCCTCCTAGACTACCAGACAACGGTTCACCAGCAGCAGCAGTGTTCGTCGATCCATCAATGTGATGCCGTCGTAGACGAGAGGCTGCTGCCCGATTGCCGTTCTCACCACCAGTCACTATAGTACTGCTACCAGCACTCTCACCAGCACCTGTGTCGTGATGAACTGAATGCCCACAATGCTCCAGACAGTATCGTACGGATACACAACTGGAATTTAATCCGGAACTCATCAAAACGGCAGAAATCAAAAACAATTGATTATTATTGTTCGCATTTTTACAGAACTGAGCGATTCGGCCGTTTGTAATTATTCATTTGAAGAATAATGACTTTGATTTTCGATTGTAGAAATTCGCTGTTTACATTCTAATCAGTTATTTGCATGCTAAACAGAGGATAGGCCTAAGTTCTCTGGAACATTGATTTCTTGAAACTGATAAATATCTTGCCGACCTAAAGAAATAACAGATCACTACAATGCCTTTGACAAAAGTTGATTTATTGGAGGAGGTGCAAGAACTTTAACGTAAGAGAATTTGGTCATTTTATATTGAACAGCAAATGGCTATTATGAAAATTCAGTTTGCAGCATGCGATACTTGAAAATGTGATATCTGGATGGTTTGCTGTATGAAATGAACCGTTCCCAACAACCGATGACAGATATTAACGTACCCTGATATATTTTCAGTGACATGCACAAAAGCAGTGCATGCGATGGACTGGATTGATACGCCGCCGTGATTAGCCGAAACATTACGAGACGGCACTGTTCCGGCCAGTCGACGCCTCTTGAGTATCGGTGATCTTCGACGACACAGCAAATAGTATTCCTGAACGAACATCTTTCAATTGCCCCACTCAGATATGCAAATGCGGTGGAAGGGATTCGTTTGGAATGAGCGATTTTTGCTGATCGAGGAACAACAAAACTCATCTTCCCGTTGTGAATACTGGAGGAAACCGGAGCATTCCTCCGAAATGCCATGTCACCCTCACCAA